CCAAAGATAAGTTGAATGGCCCTTGTCTCTAACAATGGATAACCCATCGTTAGATGGACAGTTTATAAAAGACTAGATAACAGGTTCAGTGTGACTCACTGAGGATGTGGCAGCAACTGTCACGTGGCTCTCATCACCAAACACGAGTCTAGGAGCAGGGGACCGAGGAGGGAAAGACAGGTGGCCTTCCTCCTGGTTCTGTAGTGCCTTTAATGACCCATTGAAAGTGCCACTCATCGTCAGTCGCTGATTCTTACTGAGCCAAAAATTAGCACCTCAAACTGTGCTGAATTTTCAGGCCCAGGAGAAACTAACGTGGGGGACTGGCGGGGACTCAATCACCATGTTTCGATGTTTCTGTGGAGTATACTGTTTAACCTGTCAACGAAAGCAGCAACTTGGAGCACGCAAGGTTATCTGTACTATGTGCCACAATGGTTATATCCCAGCTTTTCCTCTGTAAGAGCTAAAATGCAGAGAGCAAAAAGGAGATATAAAGCATACCAAGAAACAATGGAATTGCTGCGAAACTCATAAGGCAATTCTTGAAAAACAAAACCTATAAAGAGAAATAATCTTTAATGTCTGGAATTCCAACAAAAAAGTCAGAAGTCAGGAAAAAAATCAGCAGTTCTTCCAATTAATCATTCATGCCTATGAAAAAACAAATCAAGAAAAAAATGTATACAGGCACTGTCAAGAATAACCATGACCAGGAGATGACTTTGGCAAGAATATACATCCTAGAATCAGGTCTGGGTTCGAGTTCCAGTTCTCAATCGAGTGATCCTTTCAGACATGAAATGGAAATCGACAATTCCCCCATCCCAGCAGGATCACAGTGGGCTCCAAAGGAACAGTATGTAGGAAAGAACTCAGTAGGCTATAAACCACTGTATAAAGGGTGGTCGGGGCTGTTACCACAATGATCCACTGCATCTTCAGCAACAAGTGATTTTAACAAGATCACAGAAGAAAAAAAAGTGAGCACTGATTTGTAACAATTTCTTTCCTTCTCACCAACTGGGTTATTCAGTTTCACTTCTTATAAAGGAGAGTTTTTGTTTAATTACAAGAGTGCGTCCTTAATAAGTGATTGGATGCTGGTAGTTTGGAATCTGTGTTATGTAAGAACCAGTAGGGGGCTAAAGAATATGAGCGGTAGAAGAAAAATCAGAGGAGGTGAGAGAGGGCACTGTGTCCTTGGAAGGCTTTTGATATAATACAATTGTGGAACAGACCTGCTCCATTCTGCCACAGAGCGGCCCCGGTGGATGGACTGCAGATGGAGGTCACAAAGAGGAAGATTATGGGAAAAACGGTCTAACAGTGAGAGAAAGTGCAAGTCACTCAGTCGTGTCTGACTCTTTGTGAACCCCTGGACTGTAGCCCGCCAGGCTCCCCATCCATGGGACTCTCCAGACAAGAATACTGGGGTGGGTAGCCATCCCCTTCCCCAGGGGATCTTCCCAACCCAGGGACTGAAACTGGTCTCCTGCATTACAGGTGGAGTCTTTACCATCTGAGCCACCAGGGGGGCCCCTAACAATGAGAGCAGATCCCAGTGAGGAAACTGCTTCAGAGGCAGGCGATGATCAGCCCACGGAGGGGTTAAGCAAAGACTGAATTGGGAAATAAGTTCAACTGATGACTGAGACCCAACACTTCCATCAGGGAGAGGTCCTACACGTTTTATCTGAAGTCATCTTCAAGAGAACCTTGGGAAACGCGGCTGAATGCATCCGCGTGATCCCAATTCTCTCTCTTGTCGCCAGAGGACGGAGACGAGGGAGATACTCTTGCCGTGCTGCTTGGTGAATGAGTGCACTCTTCCTTGCCCTGGGCTTCGGACTTGGATGTGTGACCTGTGCTGGCCAACACGATGTTGGCAGACACGATGCATGGTTGTCTTTTCATGCTTCTGTCATCAACTTCGTGGCCACCGCCCCTTCCACACAGACCCCAAAATGAGACAGGTGGTACAGACCAACCCTAACTGAGTTACAGATGACCCTGGCCTACAGCAGAGATGCCTCAGTTCAACTACAAACTATTAGTGAGAAATAACAGCTGTCTTTTTTGGAAGCCACTATAATGTTGAGGGTTGCCTGATATCTGGCAATAGCTGACTGATGTAACACCCATCACAGAAGGTATTCAGGAAGGAAGCAGTAGTAACTAAAGCCCGAGAAGTGCAGGCTGCGTAACCCCATCAGCAAAACGACCCCACTAGAAACCAGTCTGCCCAACAAGACCACTTGCCTATCTAAGAAGCACTAATAGAAGTGCTCTAATCTAGTTATCATTCAGAACTTTAATTCATCTAGGAAAAAGAATGTAAATAAAAATTACTGTAATTACTACTGCTGGAAGGCATAAGCATTCTCTCCAAAGGATGCATGCACATTTTTTTTTTAAAGTAATGAGAATGGGTAGACAAACTGTTTTGAAGTGTTTTTCAACAAAGACTAAATAAATTCACCCTGCCATCCACAAGTCTGAACAACAGGCAGCTGTGAGCAAAATGGATTTTAATCAAATTCAGATGAAACTGCTATCCCAAAAGGACTCAAAGAGGTGCTGTCTAGACACAGTAACAAGCTCTGCAACGTTAACTGTTTGTGCCTACATTACGACAATGCAAAGCGCCGTATAATAAAGTATGCATGAACCTATTTTTTTTTTCTGATACAGAAACTCATTACCACGGAGAACGTGGTACCTCAGGCTGGACGTTGAAGCTGCCACACCTGCTCCGTTGCAGCAGCGTCCCAGGCTCAGAACCCTGGAAAAGGAGCCTGTGAGCCAGAGAGAGGCCCTGGTATCGAAGCCTTATCCATGCAGGATAAAGGAGCACACGTCCTTCCACTGGCTTCTCCCGGCCTCCTGACACCCTGAACGGTCACTTCATGATGGTAAATCAGGTCCTCAAATCAGGACCACATTTGATCTCAAGGTAAAATGTATGCTTAGGTGAAATGAAGTGACAGGTGGAATCTGAATTGCCCGGAGGCTGCTTCTGTTTTGTAGTCATAGCCTCATTTCAGGCTACGTGGCTCATAGAGCAGACTGTTGTCATAACCGATAATGTGATCTATATGCAGCACTCATGTCGCTGCACACTCCATCTATGGACAATATTAAAGAACATAATTTATAATGTGGCAGAATTCTGCTTCTGTACCTATGAGGACGAGCAAGTCTGTCTAGTAAGTATAACTCTGCTAAAACAGATTGCTTATGTACTGTGTCCTTCCCAACCACACTATCCTTCTCTGGCATCTTACGTTCCACTGTCCCTGCTCTTCATGATCATTCATTCTGTTCTTACAAAGAACACACAAGAAAATACTCAATTCAAATCAGGAGAAATATTGGTAAGATATTAGAAGACTCTTCTGGTTCATTCTGGAAGCTTTTTTCTATGATAGAAGATACACCAGCCAAGCAGACAGCAAACATTGTTTTTTAGCACTTAATTAGTTGTTGTTTTTCATTCAGTTGTGTCAACAAACTAATTTTAATGATGCCTTTATCAGAGACTCAAAAGTCTTCATGTATAAGGCAAAAGGGTGTGAATGCGTGTGCATGTGAGAGTGAGTGGCTGCCTGTGTGTGTCAAGGGGAGGGGTCATGGAAGGGTTAAAAACAAGCTCCACAGGAAAAGGAAAAAACTTACAAATTCTACTTCCTCCAAAAAGATAAAAGACCCCACTTGGCCACCACCAGCCAGGCTGCAGCCAGCAGTGTGGACTCTGACAGTCTCCTGAGTCCTGCCTCTCCCGGCTCCCTGCCCCCTCCCCAGAATCTGGGGGGAGAGGAAAACCAATGCTGGAAACGCAGGGCAAGTTCAGCAGCTTGTAGTCAAGCTCTGGTGGGGAAGGGGGAGGAGCTGTGCTTCCTGGCCAGAGGCAGAGGGTCAGCCTCTGGAAGGATCGGCTTGGCACTGGCCCACTCAACAATGAGGAACAGAAATGAAGAACATCACTTCTACTGTATGTGATGCAAAGGTCTGACCGGAACAGAAAGTGGCCCTTGCAGCCCAGGCCAAATCAAAGGCCAAGTCGCTGTGGATGCACTGCAGAGCAGCTGCCGTGACCCCAGCTGAAGCGCAGGAGAGGAGAAGGGGTGATGGGGAGGGGGCCTCCTTCCTCCCGAGATTCTGGAAGCTAGGAGAACACTCGAAGTCGAGAAACAGAAGAGAGGCAGGGCAACCTGGGGTCAGATGCTGGCAAACACAAACACAAAACGTGCAGGCCGCCTCCTCATAGGAATGCTGACCAGAGATGGGTGGACAGGAAGGGGTCCACCAGAGGAGAGGCTCTGAAGAGCCGGCTCTAAGCCACTTACGGAGGGCGAGGACAGCTGGATGGCACCCGGAGGGGAGAGGAGCCGACCCAGGCTGACATGGCGTGAGCTCCCCCCGAGAAGCAGGGCCGGCAGGGCCCTGTGGTGGGAGGCTGAGAGGGATGTGCAGGCCGAGAGGAAGGAGGGGGTGGCAGGTGAGTGCCGGATGCCTTCAGGGAGGCCTCCATCGGAGACAGCCGCAGCAGCCCAGACACTTACCCAGAGCTGAAGAGCCTTTCTAGGAGAGAAAAGCCTCAGAGAAAGGACTGGAACGCGGGGGCACATGGCCCAGGGGGAAGAACAGTCCAAACAGCTGACGAGGGAGGAACTGAACCACAGGATGGAAAGGAAGGGGCCGGAAGTCTGAGCGGAGGACGACAAAGGCGATGCCCTGCAGAAGCCCCGGCGGGGCATGGCACTGCCCCCATCCCACATGTCATGGGAGGGGGCAGGTGTTTCAAACCCTCGGGGCCCCGGGGAAGGCTGACGGAGGCCGTCACTAACCCCGGCCAGGGGAGGACGCTGGGAAGGTAGCCTGCTCAGGCAGCGCACGTCTGCCTGCCGGCGTCCGGCAGAAACCGACAGACGCCGAGGTGCGTGACCACAAGTCAACACACCCCAGCGTGCTTCCAGCACCTCACAATGAGGCGGACCCGATTCACAGGGCTGACGTTCAGGAAAGTGAGGCGTGGTGGTGACAGAGCTATTCTATCAGTGCTCAGCTACTGTTTATTTCAGAGGAGACATTTAAAATTTTTACATTTCCCATTTAGAGAGGTCTGCATTTTTCCAGTTTCAAATCAATTAGCCACACTGAGCTATTCATAGCCCTGGACGGTTTTCATCGTGTTTATTCTATGAACAGCCTAAGAAACCCTGCAAAGTCCTGCTACGAGGCTCCTCCCTAGAGCCTCGTCAAGTGTGAGGTCAGCCACAAAGCCTCGTCCCGAGAGTTGAAGGTCAGTTTCCAGACCTCAGGGACCACATCCTGGCTGCCCTGCAGATCCAAGGTGCTGGTGCACGGCTGAACCTTTCGGGCTTCCTGAGGGCGCCGGGAAGCACCGCTTCCTGAATCTGACTGGTGTCTGAGTTTTTGGAGGAAGACGAGTTCGAGGGTGGATGATGTCTTTGTCTCTGGAACGACGAGGCACCTGAATTCACTTAAGGCTCGGCATCTGACCACATCAAACCGTGTTCCTGGGGGTGGAGAGCTCAGAGCAGGGCTGCGAGGATGGAACACGCGGTCTTCCCTCACCAGGGCCATGTGAGTGTTCAGAAGGACGAGCGACTGGCAGGGGCCTTGGCCAGAGTCACCCTCAACTCTGACCGTCGTGTAGAGCAAGAGCTGAGCCTCTGCCAGAGACGGGGCGCCGGCGTCCAGGTTGCCGTGAAGGAAGTAAATCAGGTCCACCAGGATATTCTGGAATCTGGATGATAACCGGACTCCATTTGCCAAAATTAAGTCAGGGATTTCTGCCTTCCAGTCAAGGGAGAGCTGGACCAGATCTTCCCGAAACAAGGGATGCTCGGCGCAGGCAGCGGCCTCAGACGCAGACGCAAGGACACACAGGAGTTCCCGGCATATCTGCTGGCAGAGGTTCTTGTTGTAAGGAAACACAGTGAGCAGCAGACTCTCTGTAGAGCCCAGGAGCCGAACGCTCTGCCCACCGAAGCCAACCTCAATCTCCCGGAGCCCAGAGAGGGGCAGGGCGTGAAACACGCCCACAGAGCCCAGGGGGTCCAGAACCAGGGCGTACAGGGCAGAGCTGAACAGGAGCAAGCACGCAGGCTGGGGCGCCGGCTCTGCGCAGTTGGCCACGGCCAGCCAGTACATGGCTCGGGGTACATCCGTGCTGTCCCAGAGTTCTGGTAGGGAACCGGCCACCAGCTCAAGGAAGTCTGTGAAGGGGCATTCTTGAAGTTTCAGCATTTGGTCTGGGAATCGCACAAGGGTCTGCTTAAACACAGAGCACCTTCTGGCACCTTCCAGGTCCAGGCAGGAGACAGAGCCCAGTGAGGAGCCTGAGAACTCAGTGGCTGCGGGGCCAGCAGGCCGGCCCAGGGCTCGGTAGGGCGCCAGGCTCCCCGCCCGCCCCACGGCCCCTGCCTCGTCCCTGCTGCCAGCCTGAGCTTCCGTGTGGAGAAAAAGCGCTTCTGCTGCTGCCCCACCCATCTCCAGGAGCCTGTGCAGGGGTGAGAGCTTCAGAATCGGCAGCCTCGTGAGGAAGGTCGCTGCCTGCGAGGCCAGCCAGCTGGGGTCACACAGGCTGCCCACGAGCCGGGCTTGGCCGAAAGCCTCTGCACCTGCCCGCAGCAGGTGGCCGCTGGTGTCTTTGTAAAGGTCTGAGACCCACTGGTAAACGAACCCCAACCCACGGCTTCCCTCTGGCTCAACAGTCATCAGGGACTCCGGAGAGCTCACCGCTCGGGCTGCTGCCTCCTCCCAGTGGAGCTTGGAGGCCAATGCCGCTGGGGGGACACTGGCCCGGGGGACCCTATCAGAGAGAACGAAGCAGAGGAGCTGGCTCCGCCAGGTCTGCTCGCCCCTGCCGTCCACGGACACTTCCTGGGATGTATGCTGCAGCCAAGTCCAGCTGGACGTGAGCCCCGGGCTGGGTCCACCTTGAGGACTCGTCGGCTCGCTGAGGTTTTCTGACTCACCATGAGAATGTCGCGCGCCGCGGATGCTGCTTTCGCTAAGAGGAGAGGTTTCAGTGAGATCAGGGCTTTCTGGTTGAGAGTCGCCTCTGTTACAACTGCTGCTATGTGACGGCTCGTGCTCTGCGGGCCGAGACCCCCACTGGTTTGCTCCCCAGCCTGGCGCTGAGCGGCAGGCAGAGGGACCGGGGATGCTCCAGGTGATGGGCAGGCTCCCGTGGCGGTTCTGGTCCACCTCCCCCCTCTCCTCTCGGCCGGGGGCATCAGTGACGTCTCTGGGCGGCAATGGGGCAGGACAGCTCTTCTGTCAAAAACAGGTGAAAGGGAGCTGTGGCATCTTTTGCGATTCTTTTTGCATGAATGAAGATTCCTGCGGTCATTGGTTTTATCATGTGGATTAATGCAGAGGTTCAATCGATAACCAAAGTCATTTGTGTTGATTGACTCATGATTTCAGAATAGAGGAACTGATTCACACACAGAGCATCAATTTCTGTATTTCACATCTTATAAATTGCCAAATATTTTGATAGGAATATGTTAGATGGGATTGAGCCACAGTATCCATTTCTTGGTCTAATATTCTACTCTTAAAAAAAAAGACAAAATCCTAAGGCCTTTGATTCAATTTTCCAGGGGGCAAATTTAGTTGTGAAAATAAGTCCTTGAGTAAATGTCCAAAATGTAAGAGTAACCGGGGGCATACTTAATGTGAATGAGAAACTGGCAAGTATTCCAACCTCATGTGTTTCTCTGGCCTCTTGGTCTGTTTCATGGGAATCCTTCGTGTACATCTGCCCTGGTTAGAGCACCATTACAGTATCTGCAAACCAGCACCACAAAAGGCTCATGGCCAGCCTGCTACAGGCTAGACATGTGGACACAAAGAAGGGAGAGGCAACATCCTTTTCTTCACAAGGTCATCTCCTGAGGAGTCGGACGTTCAGAGGGAGACAGCATTATTCCCGGATGGCTAGGATGGAGGGGGAGATGGTCCGTCTCCTGTAGGACATCCACCCCTCTGTCGCTCACTCTGTTCAGTGACGTAAGATTTCTACCACCTCCTAGTCTTGCTTTTTTTTTTGGCTTTTTAATTTAGGAGTGTATGGGAAGGACAAGTCCCTCAGTGGAGGAAAATACAAGAAAAGTTTTATAAATCGTATGCCCAAATAAACCCTGGTTTGACAAACCACTGGAGAAATAAGCTACCCAACCAAGAGTGTTTCCTCTGTGCCACTGCCAGCACAGTCCATAAACAGGCAGGGTTCCTAACACATCGGGAAGTACTCGGGTTCATTTCCAAACCCCCTATCTGATTCTGATTATATAATTCAGCCTCTTAAATGCAGACCAAGAGAAAGGATACTGTTACGAATGAAAAACTGGGTAGAGGGTCTCTACCACAGCTACACACATTCAAATAAAGTCAGAGCAGTTTGCAACCGGCAGGATTCCATTTAATTTTTAAGTCATATAATAGCTTGCCTTGCCTATTAGCCATTAATCTCACTGGGACTTCGAAATTCTAATTATGCAACTAAACATTAAGAAAATTTAATCACACAAGCATGCCATAATTTAAGGCGACCCTATCAATCTGAAAAGTCATTACCTACCTCATATTTTAGCTTACGTTGAATGGTGCCATTGTGGAGTTTCTCATTATCCTGAAATGAAAATAAAAGCCCTCTATATTAAATTACAGCATGTTCACATAGAGGAAAAAAAAACTGATTTGATTAGAATATTTATGAGAAGTAAATATTGTAAAGAAACATACTTGTCATTCAACAATGACCTTTCTTGAGAGTTTATATTTCCAAGGTAAACGTGACTGTATGGATCTATCTGCCTATTAACGAAACTGAACCATTTATTCCTAACCTTAAAATGTGCAACGTAACATTAAATGCAAGATTTCCTTAGGATACTTCTTAATTTGTAGGATAGGATTTTTATCATTTTGATAAAAATCAACTAGTCACAAGTATGTATCCTCTCAAAGGCAAAACTGTTATTTCTACTTGGGATAGTTTATCAAGTGAATTAAATACGAAATTGATTATATTTTTGGAGAGAACAGAAGTTACGTGTAGACTTTTTGTAAATTAAAATTCCTAAATTCCTAAAACATTTTAGGAAACTTCATATTCACTTAAGAATTTCCCCCAGAAGTTCAAAATGTTCAATTAAAGTTACTCCTGAAATAAGACTATTTGTAAACAAGCTCCACCCAAGTAATATTTAATTATTCGAGAACATTTTATATCTCGATTTTCTCACTGAAAAACTGTAAATGAAAGATCACCACCCCCAGCTGCTTAATGAAAAGTCACCTTGAAAACGACCGCCCGGACCACCAGCTCCTTCGCTCACCTTCACGGTGTCCGCAGGTTCACTGCTGCCGTCACCGACCACACGCTGCAGGTCCTGCAGGCGTCTCTGCACCTCCTCCTCAATGTACGCACTGATCCTGAAAGCCAAGGGGACGGGAGTCCATGATCCCGTCTAACCACACCCTTGGCAACCAGAAGCCTTCTCCTTCTAAATGCTAAACATAGCTAACTCGGAGCCTCCAACCTTTGCCTTCTAAGAAATGTGACATCGCGTATTCACTACCTTGGGTTTTCCTCCAACAAGAGGCCTGGAAATTACCAAATCCTGGGAACAGAAGGGAGACTCAGGTATCCCGTCCAAACTCCCTCTGATGTCCCAGGCAGAACGCCTCCTGTGGGACAAGGAAGAGTCAGAGACCCTCCATGGACTCAGGACTGACTCTGAGACCCAGCACTGCCCTCACCGAGCCGCAGTTTCCTCACAGACACTGGTGATAACTATTTGTCACAAAACAGTCATTTCAGAGGATTAAAAGGCAAGACAAAGAGGCGGGTGCAGTCTCCACAGATCTCCCCACGATGGCACGCTGTCTCACCTCACTCCTCCTCTCTCTCGTCGCTGCATCTGGCCGTGAGACACGATGCTTTACAGGTCTCTACCTGCCAAAAGGCCCGGCGAAGGGCCAAGACGGTGGAAGCCAGAAACAGCTGGCTTCTGAGGCAGCTGCCAGTCGAGCACCTGGCACTCCACGCAATACACAGGGGAAACTGTATAAAGGCCAGCCATCCACCCAGAAGAACCAGGGAGAGCAGAGGATTCCGGTTCCATCAGAATCTTTCCAGTGACTCAGGCCACCAAAGGCAAGGCTTTCTCAGTTCTAGGCTCCTGACTCAGGGTCTACAGATGCTGAATTACACAGATGGTTTTAAATGGGCTGTTTTGCATGTTTACATCTTGGCACACTAAAAAATTAAAAATCTGGTTTGATCTAAGTCTACACAAAATTCTAAAAACATTTCTGTACTACTCACCATGGCTAAACAACTTTCAGATATGCTGGGTAAAGAGATTAATATTATAGGTAAAATAGCCCAAAAGAATGGTGCAAGGGTAATGGAATACAGTATTTACATTTCAGTATTTCAGTAAAGAAAATCATATGCAACTGAATATGAGCCAAGGCCTCCTACAAACAAATTCTCTCCCTGAACCTTTACTTAAATTTTAAGTTCCACAGAGGACGACAACCTAGGTTTAAAAGACTTCTGAGGTTTGTGCCATTCTGAGTACATTTTGATATCTGAATAGCTATCTCCTAGTACCCAGGGCTCAGGACAGTACAGTTTGATATGTCCCCATGGCATAGATGGGGTGAAGGAAACAATCAATTTTCTTCCAGGCAATAAATGAATAGGTCGATTTAGCTGAAGGCTCCAAGCCACAGATCAACTCATGATGCCACCCAAGTCGAAGATCACTTTCCTATAGTAACATCAGATATGCATGCGTGCTCTTCATGGTCATTCTGAATATATGGTATGATCTCTGCGGTATCTATTTGTAACCAATGACTTCTGTAAACTATCGGTCAGCACAAGGTCCTTCGTGGTACAATCCAATTAACTCTACTTTGCTCCTCTCGACCTGGCCTGGCATCACTCCTTTTTGGTTCTCCTGAACCTTTTTTTTCCTTTAAATATTTATTTATTTGGTTGCACTGCGTCTTAGTTGTGGCCTGTGGGATCTTCCTGGCATTGCTCGGGATCTTTCACTGTGGCACACAGATTCCCCAGCTGCGGCATGTGAGATCTTAGTGCCCCGATCAGGGAGTGAACAGATGTCCCCTGCATTGCAAGGCAGATTCTTAACCACTGGCCCACCAGGGAAGTCCTTCCCTGAACCTTTTAACAATTCTACCTTCTTACACAAACTACTTCCATCAGCATTCTTCAGATATGACTGTCCGAGTATCCAGTCTTGAGCCCTTTTAAAGGACATCTCACCCCACCAGGGGCCAGGCAGCAGCTGATCAAGACAAATATGTCTTGGGGACAAGTACTGCTCATCATCTTGTATAGAGCCCTTCATATGCACCTGGCCAATACAGGGCACCCTGAGTCATCAAACCACGTCACAAACAGGCCTGGCATCAGTGTGCTGTTGAGTACCTCGCATCCATCAGAGGGACCGGGTGAGATTTTTCTGCACTGGATGGGAAGCTGGAAGCAGCAGGCTTTCCCTCTAAGGTCCCACGATGCCCTTTTTGAACACCATCGACCTCACAGATCTTCAGCTTCAACTGCTGGATTTCATGTTCTAACCTACGAAGATGGAAGTTATGTGAATTCACTCATTAACAGTGTCTCCTGAGCTTCTTCCCTAGAAACCACAGGAGGTCCAGACAAAAACTGCCCAAGGAACTTTATCTTCTGGTAGAAAAGGTACTGCAGCCCTATAGGATAATGTATAAGGTGGTAACAAGCCACAAGAGAATTTCAGGACAAATGCCACAGACATCCAGGAGTTAAGAGTTGTACATCACGGGCAAAGGTATTCCCACTGTGCCCAGTAAATCCTCAGAGGTGCAAGTGCAGGATTCGGAGCCCTGATCCTGGCTTCAACAAAACAGTTGGTTGTGGACTATACATCATATCCCAACAAGGATGTCTATTTGACAAAAGAGATTTTTGTTTTAAAGAATCTTTCAAAACCGCCGATCTAGGAGAATCTTCAAGGTCAAGGCAGTTCTAAATTGAGTCCACACAGGCCAGTGGGAATCTGGCATTTGGAGATGACAGTGAATGGTATTCCAGGTGCAGAAACAAAGGGACCAAGCCACAAAAACCAGGAACCTGCTCTGGCTAAGGCAGAGGGTGTGGAAAAGGGAAATAGGTGAGAGAGACCTAGGAAAACAGGCTGAGTATCTACAGAAATTAATAGAAACCATAAGCTGCGGAATCAAACATTTACTTTCAAAGGCAGACGATACAGCTAATACAAGGTCAAGTATGTATGAGGCTGGTCTCCCACTGGTGCAGGCGTGACTGAATCCAGGGCCATCAGACCAAAGAGCCAAGCTGGCCAGTCAAGTGTGTCCTGAGGAACACTAGACCCTCTAGGGGCTGCAGCCCACTCACTGCTATGAGGCCTGGATCTCAGCGTCTTCGTGTATCAAATGAGAGAGTAACTAGTCTCTCTAAATTCCTTTGGGTCCAAAATTCAGAGATTCTGGCTTTAGACGCCGACACGCTACGACACTGCCAGCTCTCACGTCACCAGCAGCAGTCTGACTGCTCTGATCATGAAAGCCAAGATCTTGGTTCTCGGACATATGATTATGAGATCACCACAGTAGGCGCTCCTGGGTTTCACAGGAGGCAATGCCCAGCTTAACTCAGCCGTTCATCTGCCTACTGATTACCAAGTGCCAGCCTGCAGAGCACAGAGCATTCTCAAAGGAAAAGCGAGTGGGCACAGGGGAGGGATGTCAGCGCCCAGCTGGGGGCAGGGATCCAGGGAACGAGGTCCACACAGCATCTCAGAGATGGTAAGGAAAGAGAGCCGATTCAAGTAGCTGGTGGCCAAGGTTTATGATTAAGATGATGCCCATGAAGTTGTTCAAAGTCATCCTTCAGGGCTGGACAGTGGGAAGGACTCCCCCAGAGCAAAGAGGCTCTGGTGGGGCTCTGAAGGCTGAGCGGGGTTTACATGGGTGGCAAGGGACAGCAGTGAGTCCCAAGGAAAGGGTCGCAGAACCCGTGAAAAACTGGTCTGCCTGGCAGCAACTCTGCGGTCAGCAGACAAGAGGACAAAGGAGCCACGAGCTGGTGTTGAGGGGCAACCCTGCCACTTTCCAAGTGCCTGACACTTGTCCCCTGTGGTTATATAACCATCGAGGAGGAAAGAAGAAAACGGATTAAACCGAGCTCATAAAGCAAGCTGGCAGAGGAAGACAAACACAGTGCAGTGTTGGTCCAATCTGGCTCCATGTGAATCTAGTATTTTGCACTTTGGAAAATTCACAAGTGGTCACGTCAGGGTGCACAGCAGGCCCTGGCTCAGTAGGGAGAGCCCAGAGAAATAATAAGACACAAAACCAAGACCCCCAGAATGCTACAGGACTGTCACAACCACAGCAAAGCACGGAGAATCTGCCGGCCTCAATCAGGGCTTTGCAAAATCTACTCCCATCAAAACACACGAAGCTAAAAGCCTCCTTTGCACAGCTTCCAGAGAAATGCTGACACTGGGAAACCACTAAAGTGTATCTGCTATAATCGAGTATTAATACTAAATGGCCAGGGAGCGAGGCCGGCTGACAGAAGCGGGGACGGCAGGCTCCAAGCCCCGCTGCATTCTCACCGTGAAGCGCAGGAGACAAACTGAGAGCATACCCTCCTCTGCTTTGCATTTCCTGGGACTGGAGGTTTGTCTAGCAATTTCATGTATGTAACATACCATCATTTTCTTAAACCTCAGACCTATTTCTCTGAAGTCACAGCACTGTGGGTTTTGATTGCTTCATCTGTCACTGTTTTGCCTGAGGGAATCACCGGGGAGTTTGGTTAAGAGAATCACTTAAGCAGACGGTTTGAAAGGAGGCTGTCCTGACCCTGGTGATGACTGGGAGCTCCAGCAGCACCTCACGGCAGGTCTTGCCTTGTCACCAGCATGGATCCCAAGCCTCTGCCCATGTCAAGCTGGGCTCGACAAGCCAGCAGGTGGCTTCTGCTGCAGCCCCGAGGAAGGTGTGGGAGGGGGGGAGGACTTCAAGGGAGGCAGGGAGCCTTCCAGCCCCCTGTAATGGGGCTTCAGTTAAGATCCCAGTAGACCAAAGGGTCTGGAATTACTAAAGAAAAGCTCCATGTCCTCCTAACGGTAAGGATAAACAGTGCGGCCCCAAGACGGAAGAGCCCGTCCGTGCTAAGCAGGGCAGGAAGGGGCTGGGCAGGGGACGAAGCCCCCTTGCAGAACACCACATCTGGAGACATTTGCAAACCAGGTGGCTGCCAGTCTCGCTAGAGTCTTGGCATCACACCCACAGGGTTAGCAGAAAAAGCACCCTCCAGTGTGTATATTCGTTTTGAGGCCCTACCTCCGGGAAGCATGGGGACAGGGAGGTGGAGGAAGAGAAACACTCTTCCTTTACCATGAACACAGCCCTGGCTCCTAGTTCACAACCTCGGAAGTATCAGTAAATCATCACCAAATAAGCCTGGAGAGACTTGTGTTCAGAACATCTGGAGAGCTTTATTTTTTAATTCCGAATCCTGAGGCCTCCCATCAAACACCGAGAACCCCCAGGGTGGGGGGAGGACTGCTTCTCAGCTCACTGCCAGGCGTGGAAATCAGTGTCTACACCACCTGTGAACTCAGGAGCAATCCCTCATCAGAGTAAGTGCTGCTCATCCTCACGGAGATGCTGAGGTGTGGGCAGGAGAGAGGGAGGGAGGGGTGGCGGGGTGGAGATCAAGAAACAAGAATGCGGGGAGGGGCGGGGAAATCGGGCTGGAAGCCTTTTCAGTATTCCATGTTTATTAAAATATTACATACCGATTAGAGGTCACTGAGGTAACAGACCAGGACTTGGTTTTTGTGTTTTTTCAAATTTAGGATGGTGATTCTAAAACAAGGGTTCTAAGGAAAAAGAAAAGAAGGCTTAGCCTTCACTGCTGTATCAGTCAGAGATACAGCATTCAGGGGTAGAAACCAAGCTATTAACCTAATGCCTGGGGGCCCGGAAGGTGTGGCAGGCGCTCCCTGGGCCGCGCTCACCTCTCCCGATCCTTCTCCAGGGCTTCCTGCCCGGCCTGCTCGCCGCCAGCGGCCCGGGCGCAGCGCCTCTGCAGCGCGGAGTGCCTCCTCTCCAGCCGGGCCACCGCGCGCTCCAGCGCCTCGCGCTGCTGCTGCTCTCGGGACTCCAGGATCTCCTTCTCCTTCCGCCTCACCTTCTCCTCCTGCCGGGCCACGTGGGCCGTGAACTCGAAGGTGGCCTGCAGCTTCTGCAGCTGGCTGGCACTGGCCTGGTACTGCGCGAGCTGTTCTTCCTTTTCTTCCATCTCTTTCTCCACTAGGTACAGAGTGTTGTCCAGGCCGAGAGGGCCTCGGTCGAGGATCTCACGGACTCTCTGCTTCTCCTCCGACAGCCTAGGCAAATGCTGCTGCAGGAGGTCCTCGAGCTGACGCTTCTTACACTGCAGCCTGCCCTCCGCCGGCCCGGGCCGCTCCACCGCTCCGGCAGCCCAGAGGACAGCCGTGCCACCCTCCTCCTCCTTTTCCGACCCCCTCAATTCTTCCTGGGTGCCAGATGGTAAGCGCTCGCGGAGGATTTCCTGGTCCTCCTCCACCTCCCGTTTCAGGAGGTCCTTCTGCTGCACCAGGTCCTTCTCCAGGTTGGCCAGCGTGGCCAGCTGCCTCCGCTTGAACTCTAAGAACCGCAGCTGCACCTGCTCGAGCTCCGGGCCGTCGCCACCCCCCTCGGCCCCGGCCTCCCTGGCGCGCAGGAGGGCGGCGCGGATGCCCTCTAGGTGCCGGCGCTCCTCGGCTGCGCGCTGCGCCTCCCCGCACCGCGGCGGCCGCAGTAGCTGCTGCTTCGCGTGGAGCTGCGCCTCCAGCTGCGCCACGCGCAGGACCTGCTCCTGCTCCTGCTCCTCCAGCCGCTGCTTCTCCCGCTCCAGCTTGGCGTACTGCTCCTCCTTTTCCCTCTTGAGTCGCTCCAGCTCCTGAAATATCTGAACCTTCTCGGCCTTCTCGTGGCTGTTGAGTTCCTGCAGGCGCTGGAGCTCCTCCTGGACACGCAGGAAGCGTTCCTCCTCCTGCTTCCTCTTCTGCAGCTCCGTCTCCTGCTGCTCCCGCTGCCTCGCCTCCTCGAAGCGCTCCTTCTCGGCCAGCAGGTCCTTGAGCGTGCTCTCCAGGTGCGAGCTGCGCCGTTTGAGGCTCTCCTCCTGCTTGCGGATCTGCCGCTGCGCCATCTCCGTCTCCTGGCGCTGCGTCTCCACCTCCTGCTGCATCCGCTCCAGCGCCGCCTTGTCGGACTTCTGCTTCTCCTCCATCTCTTCTATGAGTTTTCTGAAACGCAAAGCGGTGACGGGGTGTTATTTGATGGCTAGCTTCACATGCTGCTCTGACTTCTCCCTGAACTGTATGTCCTGGAAATGGACTTACACTGCACACCCTTCACCAGAATTTTAAAAAAGGGAACAGCACTTTCCTTTTAATATCCAGTGGCCTGCCGTTTAATTTTTTTTACTCTGTAACTGTCCAACATATCATTTGCCTAATCTCCTCGAGTAGCCTCTGATATCATTTCTTTGTAGTGCCTATAAGCATAATGTGTTATGCATGATATAATTTTAAAAGACCCCTGAGCTCAAAGAGAAAGAGCCGTGCCCAATTTAAATTTAAATGTGAATAATTTTATTCAGCCCAGTGGCTAAAACTCAGTGGAAATTCAGTGACAAAATGACATTAAATAAAAATGCTTATGCTGTCCTCAACTCATCAGGGTCAAATATCAAAGTCAAGATAATCAACATTTCATTGTTCCAGGTCAAATAACTACACGCTGTTGAGCATTTAATCACTAGTTTAGAACAAATAGCAATCACCAAGTGACCCAAAATATTAGTTTATTAATGCATAACACTGAAAATAATGGCAATCTCCATTAGAATACTTATATGCATGATTCCAGGGGCTATGTGTCAAGTGTCTGAGGGAGCAAAGGGTCCCCAAGGGGTGCTAACTCAGTGTTTCAAGGTTGGGAGGGCCTCTAGGGCAAGAGCCCAGGGTGCTTCAGAGTGTGTGTGCAAGGTCTCTCCCCTGACCCACCCAAGCCCTATCTTACATGATGCTGGGAGCTAAACGAATTCATGTGTAACCTCCAGACTCCACCTTCTAGGAAATAAATATCCAGGGTACAGATTTCCTGTGGCCTTACTTTCTATGCTAGTATCTGTCGTTGGTCCATTTCTTGGCTTGTTAGATAGAACGGGAAAAAAATACAGCTTTTTCAAAGTATTATATTCAGAACATATTAAAAAAGCCTCTCCAAATCAATTAAATAACCACACACACACACACACACATGCGTGCGCGCACAGAGACACACACCCCAAAAGAAAAGGGAGCTGAGAACATGCAGAGGTGGAGTAGAGGAGGTTATACAAATGGCCAATCAACATAAGGAAAGATGTTTAAAAACTGAAAAGGCATAAGAAGGGGAACTGACATTCTTTTGGCTTTTTTAAAACTCAGGGGATATTATTAAGGAAGATATACTTTTTAGTTAAGTTTAAATACATCTATTATTTGGTGTATTACATTTAATGAGTGTAGCAAATTTGCCTACTGGCTCTATTCCCTCTCACAAGTATTTGAAGATGAACTAATTTTAAAAATCCAAACACTGAGGCTATCCTGGTGGTCCAGTGGGTAAAGACCCTGCACATCCAATGCAGGAGACACAGGTTCACTCCCTGGTCCGGGAAGTAAGACCCCATGTGCCATGTGGCACAGCCAAGAAAAAAAAAAATTAGTAATTAAAAAACAATTAAAAATTCAAACATGAAGTAAAATTGACCAGCTAAAGAACAATGAGTTGCAGTCATCAGATGTGTAAATGATGGACACTGAGCCAGAGGGGAGCAACAGACACAGGGGAAGTCAGTCTAGGACGTCAACACAGGCACCCACCCCTGTGTGGTGTGAACAAGACTCCATACCACATGACTTACCTTTTACTTTCTAATTTCTCAAGCTCTTCACGCTGCTGCCGCTCAAATTCAAGTCTAATAAAATCAGATGAAAAACGAGTTACTTTTCTGGAAGTGCTTTTTCACTCTTTCTTTCTCTCGGAAGAGCATCAGTTTGTCAAGCATGATCTTTAATCGCTGTGGATTAGCAAGCTTAAAATGTATTCTCTGCTCTATAACTATGATTAGAAATTAGACATATTTTGGGGTGCTTGAATTCAGGCGGAGAAGGAACATACTTTACTTGAAGAAAAGGAAACAAAAAACGCTATACGAAAGTCCATATAGTGGAAGCGTTTCCACTATATGGAAGAAGCAGAGTTAAAGACGACTTCCAAATGAGAAGCATGCTAACCCCATGCAGTTTAGTCCCGGATTAGTACAAAAAGAAGAACAATCTCTACCTTAGACAAATGGGTCCTTTTATAGGGAAAAAACTGCCAGGGAGGTAGAGAGAGAGAGAGCACAGACATCAATTAAGAAGAGAATTAACTGGGGAAACATCATAAGAAAAGCAGTAAGATACTTAATAGCCAATTGTCATGCACAAATTGAAACGTCTTTTCATACATATCACATTTCCCAACCTTCCCAAGCAAATACTCCAGAGTTGGCTGTTAGGTTTTGCACACTTCCCAGGATAATTATAGTGCTAATAATAACTGAGTGCCAAAAATAACTGCCCACAAAAGTCAAATTTATACTTTTACTACTTTATAGATGGTTCTACTGTATGTAGGTTTCTCAAGATCCTCCTGTAATCAGTAATTATATGATATAGTAGCTCCTGGGGGCTACAGAGATGATGAACAGATTGACCACATTGGTAGCAAAATAAAGGGAGCTAGGTCACTGGGCAATTTAAAATTCATTAAAATACGGATAACAAAAGTTGATTTCTTCTCAAATACTAGCTTGAGTTACTTCAAGGTCGCACTATACCTTTTAAACAGCATGAACTGCAACTGTTAAACTTACACCTTTTCCTGTTGTGGGGGACGGCAGATACAGTAAAAAAGCTACACTATGGAAAAATTCATTGTCAACTGTTTTCCTTGGATAACATGCCAAATCCAGGTTGGCAACAGTTACCTTTATGATGAGCTAATGAAAATTCAAACATATCTGTCACCAGCTGAATTTGGGTTACAACTGAGAGTACGATGTCTCAGGTGCGGCAGTGGGGGTAGGGGCAGGGGCGGGGGGTTGGGAGCAGAACTGAGTGCTGTGCTGAGAGGTTTACACATTGGCTTACTCTGCCTTCCAGCAAATCCTGAAGACAGCACACAGCATAAACCCATTAACATATCAGGAGCCCAGAGCTCAGAGATGGGAAAGAACTTGTCCAAGATCAGGAGGGCAAGACACGGAGGAACCAGGATTTGAACCCACAACAGCCTGCTTCCAAAACATGCTAATTCATTCATTTTATGAGCAATGCTTCCAGTTTATGATGCATAATAAAAATATTAAATCCTTCATTGAAACTTATCATTTAGGTTTATATTTATTTTTCTGTCAAATGAAAATGGTCTGTAGATTATAGATACTGCCATCCATGAGAAGTCAATCATAAATCTATATGAAGAGTATTTGCCAATTCCCAAGTCTTATCTACATGCCATTACACTAAGTAGATGCAGGGCTTCATTAAAGTTCATATATGATCATTCTCTTTATATAATGGTAAACAGATCATTGGGAATGATTCCTAGTATGAGACTTTGATACAGTTTAGTCTTCTTAGAGGTAGAGTAAAAAAAAAAAAATCACTGGCTAAAACATTTTCAAAACCTGGGGATTTTCCTTGAATTGTCTTTATTCTCAATTTTTATTTTCTGTGAACACTGGCTCAACGTGACTATCAGCGGACAACACGGCTCTCCTCTGACAATGTCACAAAAGAACGATCATAAGCCAAATGCTGCTCTGAGAGGTTCGAATGAAAACCTATCACAGGACTTAGGAACTCTCCTGGAGTTTCAGAGGTTACAAGCCTGTCCTTACAGTGCAGGGGGCATGGGTTTGATCCCTGGTTGTTGAACTAAGATTTCAGGTGCCCTGCAGTGTGGCCAAAAAAAAAAAAAAAAAACACAACAAACCCCTATCACAGGACAGTTCACAACTTGCAGGTGCCGGAATGCACTGCGCATGCTATGCCCCCACTTTGCTCTCTAACCTCTGCAGGTCTCATCTCATTTTATAAGCCAGGAAACTGAGGCTTGGAGCAGGCAAGTAGTAGAGGGAGGGCTTGAACCAATTTGGTACTAAAATCTGTGCTAACCTCTACAACTGCTGGTAACTGGTGTCTCCAAGGGTCGTAACATGTGAGTTTTAGTATCTGCGTCTTCAGGCTGACACTCAGCACCTATGATTTTACTGAGCCCAGTGCCAGGCACTGTGCAAGGCGCCAGGGATACAGTGTCTAAGAAGGGAGCTGTGGCCCCTGCCCCCGTGGGGCTTCCAGTCTGTAAGTGACAATGGGATAAAACCGGGAAGAGCACCCAGTGAGTCACAAGACAGAGTGAGGAAGGACAGTGTTACACCTGACACATGGAGCCGGTGCAGATCTCAGAATTTGGCAGGATGAGAATCAAGGCAAGACCCTCAAGGGAACTTCCACCTAGGCTATGACAGTCTTCCTCATGACGATGAAGAAGCTCAGGAAAAGCTCTATAAAGCCAGGTCTTGGCTTCCTGGGGCGGGAGGAGGGGCGCGCGAAGGGTGGCAAGATCCAAAGTTCAATGGGACTACAGAAGCTCCAGGGTGCGGGGCCTTAGAAGTTATATTGAGGACTCTGAACTTGACCCTAAAGACGGTGGCAGAAAAGTGTCTCAGAACAGGGTTGTTGGAGGGCCCACAGGCAACAGGTGAGAGGAGAAGCCAAGAAACAGATCTGGAGGCCAGTGTCATCATGGATACAAGAGATGACAGAGGCAGGACCCAACGTAACAGGGACAAAGAAGCGCTGCTATCTTCTGATATGCAGTCGTCAAGGTGACAGAACCTGGTAAGGGGCTGCACTGAGTTGTGATGGGAAAGAAAGAATCAAAGACGGTTTCCCGCAGGGTCACACGGTGGGTGGGGAGGCAGAGCATTACAGCCAGAGGTTGCACTCAAAGGTCAGCTGGTCTGAATACAGAGGCTAGTGGTCAGGAGGCTAAGCACGAGTTCTTTAACCTTGGGTGCTTTATTTTCACAGACTCAGAAGAAAATAACAGGCGTTCCCTCACAGGAGACGAACACCCATCCCGTCAAACAGGACAGTTCACGTGAAACATCTGCAGAGAGCCTGCACACAGTAGGTGCACAGGTCTGCCTCTCGCCTGTGACCTGAGGCCAAGAGAAGCCCAGCGGGCAAGGGGAGCAGCAGCGGGGGCGGCCGTGGCTGTGCTCATGGTGGTGCAGGCGAGGGGGGTGCTCGGTGTCCACACGAGTCAGTCCTCACCTGTGTTTCTCACCGTGGTCGGGGAGCTAGGCGCCTTCTCTCCCCCTTTCCACACGCGAGAAGTGCCATATCCCCAGTAAACGGCAGAATCAACTGACTCCAGAGGCCACAGTTTGTCTCTATGCTGCCTTCAAGAAAGGAAGCCCAGTTTTACAAGTATTGAATCTAACGATTCCAGGGTCAACCAAACTGAGCTGTCTGGCAGGCGGGGGGAATGCAAACAAAGATCTGGCACTTGGACCCTTCTCAAGGATGGAGACACAGACCTGAGATTCACCAGCATCCAGGCGGGAATAGAGATGGATGAAGCTACCCAGGGCGCAGGTGTGGAATGAGACAGTACACGTGCATTATCTGCAGAGCACCTGTGCACAGTAGGTGCGCAAATCTGCTTCCCATATGTGATCCCCAGAGACAAGAAGGAGCCCAGGGGCGGCCACATTCATGGCGGTCTGGAAGACCACAGACACAGCAGCAACCGGCGGAGAAGGAGGGGCCCTCAAGGCGGAAGACGAGCAGTCAAAGACAGAGAGAGAAAGTCCCCTTGATAAGTAACGATTTCCATTTCCTCGAAATTAAGAGTTAAATAGACAAAGATGCTCAGTCTTAAATTTCTAAATAGTCTATGGAGAGTCATAATTACAAAGTCAGGAACTATATTTTAAATATGACGTGCTATCAGCTGTTGCTGGCACTGTTTAGCTTCTATTAAATATTACATATTTACTAATCATACTTTAAAATACACCTTTTTCCATAATCAATGATAATTATTTCAAAGAGCAAAACCTCAACAGACTGTAAAATATAAATGTGTGTTAGTATCAAGGAAAGAGTATCTATTGGAATTGTACTTTAATACAGCTTCATTTTAAATAAGTGTAATTCACTATCTTGCTTTACTGGAATTATCTTGGCCCCAAATGCTAATTTCCTAAATGTTATAATTAAAAGGAAAATCACAAAAGGATATAATTTTTTCAGCTGTTTTTAGTGTTTCTAAATGACAGTTGGAAGTACACACACCGTGTCAGGGCCAACAAAAAGGCATAGCATACAATCTATCTGAAGAGACATGACCTCTTTTGTGCATGAAAATACATCTAGCATTTGGAGACATCACTGCACATCTTGCGAATTATATCCCTGTTATTACTGACAATGAAAACACAAGGGGGTGGGGATTTCTCCATTTGCACCATTACACTGAAAGTGAGACTGTGATTATCAAAAAGGGAAAAAAAAGAAAAATTTTAATGCCTTAAAATCAGTGGTGATGAGTTTGATACCTCTCATTTCACTTTCTGAAAGGAGGAAAGTGGCCACTGGAGTGCAGTCAGCCCTTGACTGGCAGCTGCAGGGGGAGGTGGGCAGGACGTGGATGCTGAGCTCAGACCAGCAGGGAGCTCTCACCCCAGGAGGGAGGTGAGCCGAAGGGGAGGCAGCCCCCACAGGAGGTACGAGAACAGGTAAGGGGAAAGTTCTTGGTCCGTGGGGAGGCCTGGCTTTTTCCTATGTGATTTTCAGGTTATCATCAAATCCAGGCGTGACCTCACGGGTGGCCAGCCGTGAAGGTGCCCAGGGCCCG